CTCTTTTATTGTACCTATATACTTTTTAGCAAATGGTGAAAGCGAGAAAAATATAATTCGATGCATCTTTCTTCCTTTTGATATCATGCGATATTATATTGTAAATGACACATTTTTCTTCTTTTTTAATTTTATGATAATTTTTTAAAATTTTTTGAAAAGTTTTTCACTTATTCTTGGGTACATTTGAAAGAAGTGGATATTCTTTTAATGATAATTTTAAGAAAGTTTTTCTTTTTTCCGCATTCTCAATATTAAATATGATAATAATTCATGATAATGAACTCGAAAACTTCATTAAAGTCAAATACATTTAAGTAAAATATAAGAGCATCTGAATTAATACTGTATTCTAAATTATATAAAAAGGACAATCATATATATTAAAATCTCAAAAAATAAATCTACAAAATAAAAAAACATCTTTTTACTCGAGGGCATATATTCGTCAATATCGAATAAACGGGAGGATTGTCGAGATTGTTTCTTTCTCGCTCTCACCCCCTGTGTTTCTCTGCGACCTATTTTTCCCCGCAGAATTATGACGTTCTCACAATGACGTCACTGCTGCACTGACGTCACCACCACTCCCTTACGTGACCATTCAGGATGACCTCGTTTCCCTCTCTTCGAATTTCGCCCTCTCCATCCTCCACTCTATCCCTAAAGCTTAATGGCCGCCTCCTGTGCCATTCATGTGAATATTCCCTCGCTTAGCGGATGTGCTCTATTTCATAAAATGATTTGTTATGCAATTGTGTAAATGTGAAGCGTGTCCTCGATATACCGTAATATTCTCCAAAACAATACGAATTCTAGTTCGATGAATTCAATTTAGCATTCGTGCATTTATTATATTATTTATATTTATGTAAGAATAACGTGGTTTTTTACACTTAAATATCTCTCACACTTACCGATAATTATAATTATTAATTTTATATACATATATTTATAGAAACAAGTTATGTATATATATATACGTATATATTATCTAGACATATTAATATATTTTGAAATTTAATAATATTATTAATTGTGTGAAAAATTTATATGTCCAAGTTATATATATATACATCATAATTAGTTTAGCATATGTTAAGCAAGTGCAATTTGTATTTAAACTCCACATATGTATAATACATGAATTATCTTGATGCATCACTATCAATCTTAATTCCGAACTATGACTTTCAAAACTAGAATAGAAAGAGCAACAGTCATACAATGTTCCAGTTTTAAAAGTTGATTTGTTTTAAATTTCATATTTATAAGCAGCTTATTAAATTATTAAAATCAGTAAACCACAAATTTATATGTAATTAAACTATAAGATATAAAGATATGAAATCTCGGTTAGTTAAATTTAAACTAAAATAAGTTGCAACTAAATCATTTTAATTGCAGTATATCGATAATTGAATTTATTGAACATATGCGCTATAGCTACGAGATTGAAGCATAAAATAGGATTACCGCCAACAGACGCATGTTAAAGGCTCAGTAGTAAATCCAGATATTTCGCCGACATAGGAAAATTCCGCGCGTGATAGAAATCATATTAAAGTCTATCGTTGGCATCTTATCAATAAAGAAATGTCGCTCAAAGAAATCTAATAAAAGAAAGAAAAAGATTGCAGATATTTATCCAATTGCTAATTAGAATTTGTAATGTCATGTTAGAACTTGAAATAATAGAACAAACATATTTGATGTGAAAGAAGATATGGCTACGCTAAAATTTTTCCTAATTATAACTATAATTATTTTTTATAAAACATAATTTATGACATTGATCTTATAGTTATTCTGTCTTTAGGTCTATGTTTTATATATTGTCATTTGCTATGTTTCCAATTAAACGTAAATCTTATAGATTTATTAAAGTATAGATCTATTAAAATAAATAAATACATCTGCAAGCTTTTCTAAATGTGAATTATTTTTTTTATTATTCATTAAACCTTGTAAATCATGTGAATCAGTCGTTTTTAAAAGAAAATCAAAGCCTTTTCGAAGTTACTTGATTCTACTTATAAAACTTAGTTCAAAGTATAAGGTCGAAGAATTTCCATTTAATTTACCACACAATGTCACAAGCGCTACAATGATCTTGCAAATTAGAACGGAAGAATGACTTATCACGAGGCAAGATTGTTTTAAATATAATAATACCCTGATAATAACTATTTACAGTTTTCTCAATTAACTTCAACTTATTAATCGAAGCATATAAATATTTTTTACATTATTAGATAAAAATCTTATTATTTCATAAGAGAGAGAAACGAAAATAACTTAATAAAACGAAATAAAATTTTACAACAAACTTGATAATTGATATTATTTTTATATCGTCAAATATATTCGCAATTGCTGCAAATTTATTTTTAACGATGTAGCATAAACCGCACCTTCTGCAACCATCCTTTGCTTTGTGACTTTATTGCTCATAGCGCAGGTTTAACAGAGCAAAAAAGGTAAAAGGCGACGCCCTATGTCCTTGGTCAAGAGTATCGATAAATGTCACAGTAGAACTCTCTCAAACCTACTCAAATAAAACTCGAAACTAGGTTAGCGTTTCACAAATCTCATTTTCGATGAAAATGCTCATTTTGCTTTCTACTCTAATTAAAAATTTTAACGATTACACATTGTAAAATGTGCTCTTTAAAACATGAAATGCTTTAATTAAGCTGATATCTTGTCTAGTATATTTTTAAATTAGTAAGCTATTTCACTGAATAAAATTTTAACTCTTTTTTTTATACAGATGTCAAAAAATTTAATTTATTATTTACTTTTATGTTATACCATTTTTTATCAGTTGTTATTAATTTTTATATTTTTTATATTTATATAACTGTACATATGAAAGAGTTATATTAATCAACACACAAGTTTATCAAAAAGTTTTTTTATACTTCTAATTCTTCTTCATTTATTCATTATGTCAAATTGTATCTGAATTATATATTAAATTTTTTTGTGGCTGTAACTGAATTCTTACATATTTTAACTTCTTTTAAAATTTTAAACGCAATATGTAAATGCTTTTATATATGTAAATTCTTCAATACTTTGAATATCTAAAAGGTAGATTATTTTTAGGAGCAACAGAAAAAAATTAATTAAATAGTATAAACTGCAAAATCAGCTGCTCCTGCTCCCGTATCGAATCATGTTTCCGCTCATGTTACTATCCCAATCGGATTCTGAGACAAGATGAAGCATGCTTCAATGCCAAATGAATTTTAGCTAAGAGGCGGATGCGTACTTGTTTGCGGTTGATAGAACCAATATCTATGCAGATTCGATCGAATGAGCTCAGTTCATGTTTTCGAAACCGGCCAACTTTTTGTTCAAGAAGTTTGCACAAAGATGCGCGCAAATTTGGTCTTTGTACAAATTGGACTTAATGAGTGTTACATGCAATGTCGTAATATTATATTATCTAATTTTCCACCTGCAATGAGAATATTATTTGCTTTTAACTACCCTTTTAACTGCCTTTAACTACTTTAATTAAAGTGAGCTGTGCGAAAATATTTCCACTTTTAAATATACTTATTTGATGTGACTATATTTTTGTTAATTATTGTATAATTTTAAAACGATTTATATCGGGATTTATTAGTATAATTATTTTATGATTTTCATGAATATGCGTATGATTAAATTTATTTAAGAATACAAATTTTAATTTCTTCGTTATAATATTTGTAATATATATAATTCGTAATTATGACAATTTGCATTTTTATATTTTGCAGTTTTAATTATTTTCATCACGAATTGGAATAGGTACAACCATTAATTATATTTATTCAAATATTATATAATCAATTATTATATATTTTAGATGATAATAGTTATATATAAAAATAATTGATTTACTTTTCCAATTCAATAATTACATTCACGTATCGATAGACAATAATGATAGTTATTATAAAGATAATTGATTTGCGTTCTGTTCAATAAATACGTTCAGAATTCTCATTTAGTAAAATTAAACGTTATCTAAATTCGATATCTTAATATTGCTTTTTTTTAGGTAGATTTAACATGTATTCTGCATTCGCAAAAGAAATATTCGACAGGGAAACTATTTTATATTACTTATACTTCAATTATTGTCGCTTAGTTTTAAGACAAGTCTTTGAAGACAAGTTTTATCCTTTTAGAAATTATTTGTATAGCTTTACACTTTGGCGAATGCATTCGGCAAACATTATTCGAAAATCTCGAATAGTTTTCGTGGAACGGCTTTTCATTTAAGAGACACGGCTCAAGCACGCGAAATGAATTCCATGAATAGCAATCAACAGAGCATAATTAATTGCATTAAATACTATCGATCCATCGAGAACATGCGGAATCTAAATACACGTTACCGGATGTAATTGTAATCGGTCAATTTGCGAAATGCGCACCTTGCGGATTCATTGTGTCGGCAAAAGCGACACGTTTCGTTGGACTTTAATCTCCTATTCAATGAAATTCACTTGAATCGGACAAAATCGAAATGAACATGCGAGAGAGAGATAGCTTCCGTGTATCAGATTAATTAACGACGGCTTTTCTTTTGTGTAAATTTCGTGACGAAATTACTTTTTATTATTACGACTATCGACTATAAAAGAGAGAAGAAGCTACATAGAAATTTGATCGTTGGCCCATTTAATTTTTAATCAATTATACCTAATGATATTGATATATTTGTCATATATCCGAATAAAACCGTTTTTTTAAAAGATACGATTAAAAATCAAGTTATGCAATATATTCAATGTATCAGTTTTGTCAGATAAATCTATATGATATCGATAATTAAAATAATGAAACGTCAAAGTAAATTGAGAATATGATTTTACTTTAACTTTATATTGTTTGTATATAAATAAATTATTTCATAAAGATTATATAAATTGTACCTTTTAATTTAGCATATTAAATTTCTCTTTTTTTCAAGAAATCCTTTACATTTGCTGTTTCAGGACATCGATTACGAGGGTTTCCGTAAATTCCTGAATTCGTACTTGGAGATTGATACACCAGATGAATTGTGTCGACACCTTTTTCTCTCATTCGTCAGGAAAGATTCACGTGGAGTGGACGGCAAAGCTTTCAAAGTATGATATTGCATTTTAGATTGATAAAAATTGCAGTGTTATCACTATTATGAATAAAGGTGACTCGTTTATTGCTGTAAGTAACTCTAAGTGACCACGAGCACAAATTGTGGATGCGAAAAAAAAAGAGTTTGTAACGAAGTAGTGCTAGTATGAAGTCTTAGTACGAGGCGCACATTGCGGACGCAATAGTATTAGTTGGGACGGAAAAAGAGTGTCGCCTGAGCACGCTTTTAGCATAAAAAACGGTCCGAAGAGATATTCGCGTAAACGAGTGCACCAAGAATTAAAAGCCGCGTATTATCTGCATTTGTTGCTTCCCAGGAGATGGCTGTGCTCTCCTCAACAACCGCCTGTGCCGCAATTACGTCACACACGACTTCCAGCAGTAACGTTAATAGCACCGGCGTACCTGGTGGAACTTCCGCGGAGACCCACGGATCTACGTTGGCTGATAAAATACATGGAATTACGGAAAAATTGCAAGCACTGGGTCACCACAGAACGGAGAGCGAAGTCTCCAAGACGCGAACCGGTAAAATATATTTTGTGCAATTATTTTACTGACGGTTAATTAATTTTCATGATAGTTTAATTATGTCAGTTTATTATGTATAATAATGCGAAAGAATCCTTTTAAAAGGAAAGTAAGCTATAATATTATTAGCATTATTGTTCGCAAAATGCTGGCTAAAAATCTTTCGGTAAACAATAGAATGAAATGATATACATATAAAAGTTTTATGAAACAAATAATATATATTATTGGGAAAACCATGTAATAAATACAAAATAGTGATATCATTTTAATACGAACATTTTTTCTTCTACATACGTAAAACTTTTTATTATAAACGTATTCTCCTTTTCGATAAGATAAAATAGGTCAGTAACAGGCAAAACAATGAGATCTCTGACGGCTTAATTTTTTTTTATTTTATTACATATAAATGAATGCCATTGTTCGCTTCGAAATGGCGAGTGAATAACAATTGAACTGACCTGAAGGAACTTTTAATCAAGATTCCCGTAAATGCTGACGGCATTATTCGATAAAATAAAGTCGCTGATTGTAAATATCGGTTTGTGATTTTTAACAAATTAATTTAGCATAAAAATAACATAAAATAATTTGTATTCTTTTAGATATAATTGAATAAATTTTTATGCACATACAATTTTCATCTCTAAATATTTTCAGAGTATAGTTTCACCGAGTACATTAAATGTACGAACTATCGAGTAATGAATATTCAACTAATGAATCTTTCAAAGCACGATGAGGAGATCCTGCTTTGTATAGAAAAAAGGTCAATTTACGAAACCGATCGATCATGCTGTTTGTTTTTTTGTGTTTCACGCAATCATATGGATGATTCAGGAAGCGTACATCCAATGTTAACAGTCACCCATACATCATACAGCTGTTACGATGTGCTAGAGAAAAAGAGCACAGATAGTAGTCCAAGTCACAGCCAAATGTCGCGAAATTCGTCCAGGAAGTCGAACAATTCCCTCCTCGTCAACAACGGGAAATTGGAAGGTAGGCGTATGAGATCCGTGCTGAATCCAATGCAAACGGTACATCGAGCAACTATTCAATACCGTATTCGCAAACCATTGAGATTATATTTCAAACTTAGTTTCCGTTCGTATATATTCGTTCAAATCTTTAACATTATATACGTTAATGTTACGTTACATTTTTCATCCATCCTTCATTCATTAATTCGGAAATTATTTCTCCCTAAAGACTAATCCGAACGTGATTCTTTTTTAATGGGCTTTCGCTCGCTTTCTTGAATATAATCCATCCGTTTTTCTCTCTTCTTACTTTAAGTATTGAAAAGCTTATATTCAGGAGCTCTCGATGAAAAATTGGTTCTTCGTGATCGAAAGCTCCTCCTGAATATCCTGCATTAAAGTTATTCAAGTTGTATGGCTTTACGTGAAGAGATTAAAGGGCGGTAGATCGTTTCGCTTAAAAGATTCCTTTTCCGGTGTACGTGAACTCGTACATCCGTGAAATTCGGTGCACGAATTCATTCTTATTTGAAGAGATCGTATTACAGCAGTATAACAAAGGGTCCATTTCGGTCGCAATCGATCTTACAGTGACGCGTTACTCTCAAACAAAGCCTGAGATCGTAAATACCGGGTGAATTACGGGCTTCGAGGGACGTGACATCTCTTTCAGAAGTGTACTTCACCATATCGGGGTGACAGTCAATGTAATCGAAAAAATACGACCACAATATCATGCGGATATATACTATCTTTTATATCGTTTTTATGATATCGACGCAACCATCTCCCTGCTTCATTATGTGTTTTCCGTGAATTTCTCTATATCATTCTGTATTATTTTTATTCATATAAAAAACATATCATTGTATTTTATTCGATGCGGGATAACTTTTAAATATTAGGAATATTTTAAAATATATATTTTGATTTATAGAGAGAAAATGTTATCGTTTAGCGATTAATATGGCTAGAGGTTCACGTAAAATTCGGTATAGCGATAATTCCGAATAGCAATCGGCAATTTTCCAGCTCGCATGACACGTAAAACGCAATCGATTCAAATTATTCACGCGAGACATCAACATACACTGTTTATATCTGCTCTAAATGAAGACGCGCCGGTAAGTGACGGAAATAATCGTGCTTACATTATGGATTTAAGGGAAATGTTTATTCACGTCTGTGCGCGATCGCCACGATAAATTTGTGCCTTCCCGGAGATACAGGAAATGGATATTGCTATTTTAAATTCTGATTTTAGACGACAATATCTTACGCCGCGAAACGAGAAATGCGTTGATCTTTACGAAATGTCATGACGTACGGAAGACTGTATATACGATTGAGAAAACTCGATCCGGTTCTATTTCCGGGTGTGTTTGAAGAACGAGTCTGATCTTATCGTCTTCTCGTGAAACATGTGTGCTTCCACATCAAATACATATCATCAGAGGTGATGAAATGCCAAGTTAAAGCCTTCCGACCGTCTTTTGGTATATGCGACTCGTGAAAAATGAAAGAAAAATATTAAATATATCATTGAAAAATATATAATATTTGTAGAAAGTTAGGATGAATCAAAGTTCCAATAACGCTATAGTACTCTCGATTTTAAAGTTACTGAGCTCAGCTTTAAACTCGATCGTATTTTTTATAAATCAAAAAGTGACTCGCTCTTAAGTATTTTTCTTCGTAATAAAAAAGACAGTCGTAAAATGCATCAGATGTGTAAAAAATGTGAGAAAACAAGAGAATAGAATAGAAAAATTATTTCAACTAACGCATACGGAAATTTGATTCATTCGTAATCTCTGCTTTCATTTTCTATCTTCTCTCTTTCTCTCTTGTATATCAATTATATTTTCTATATATTTCTCTTTCTAAGAATTTTGACAGTTATATGCCACTTTAAATACGGGAAGAAATTAAAATGATTCGAGCCAATTCCTTTTCCTGTAGTTGATGAGCTACTACCACTAATGAGCTGCCATATCGATCGCAGATGGCACCGAGGCGCGCGTTTCAGATAATTCGCGTGACACATGTACGAGTTTGCGTAGTGCGTGTATGTACGCGTGCCGGTGCCACCGAAATAGCTAGATCGGTATATCATCTGGTAAAATGACGTCATGAATGCGCGAGGGAATGATACCAGTTTCTTGACGGAGGCTACACTTTCAGTGACTCTCGTGTCGCAAGAGAAGCAACAAGTGCTTTTCTGAGCTGAATCATTAATTGGTGCATCGACATATCTCGACTGCAAGTCGATAGTAGAATCATTGTATATTCGGTTTTTTATTAAACGTTGCAATCGCAAAGAAGATTAGGTAATCGTGATCGAGAACATTTCCCCTCCTTCATCGCTCTTACGATTTAATAGTAGTAAAAAAGAAGATGGTGCAGTTACCGAATGTGTCGGGTGTAAAGCTGAAGGAAGGTGAGACAGATCATTTCACAATCTTCGTGAATCTAACATCATAGCACGAACTACACATCAGCGTATTGATCACTTAAAATAAATTTTCTGCAAGATTTTGAATAAAGTTTGCAACTTTGAAAAAAGTATCTTAAAAAATAAAATTTTATCTTCATAATATATTTATAATCAAAATAAAAATGACTATAAGATATAGGCAAGAAAAGATTCATATAATTTCCGAAATTGAATTAATCGAAAAATGTAATATATAATTATCTCCGGTAATTTTTATAATCACAAAGCTTCAGTGTTTATAATAAAATTTATAATAAATATTTTCTCTCTCAAATTTCTTTTTCATATATGATAAACATACACTGAAAAAAAAACTTGATTGAAAAAGTCAAAATTTGTTTTGCCCAATTAAATATATTGTCCGATACGTTCAAATAAATATAATTAAAATATTCCGAAATAATTTGTTGATGTAAAAAAAGCTTATTCAAATCATCAAAACAGAGAGTTCAGTACAACGATGTACAATTACTACAACAGAATATTTTTTTGGCAATATTCAACAAAATTTTTTTTTCAGTGTATGTATCTATCATGTAAAATCACAACTAAATCAAATAATCAATATACACGTTATTGCCCGCAAATGATAATTAGTCTAAATTACTGAATTCAATCATTCTTCATTTTATTAATGGAAAATAATATCGAATAGTATAACTCATATATATATATATATATATATATATATATTTCTAAAAAAAAAGAAATTAAAAATTATCTCTAATAAATTTTCATAAAATTCATCATGTAGGTATATTAAAAAAATAATAATAATTCTCCATGCAAAGTATAGATCATATAAATATAGCTATAGAAATTACATATAGAATAATAATAGAATAATTTAATAGATTTATTCTTTTCTTCTCTCAAAGTTTTAGCAAGATTATATATTGTACAGTGATTAATCGCAAATTCCCACAATCGATTAATGTATCGCGTTTCCTCGTTGCGAAATGATTTATATATTTTTTTAGATATCGTTACTGATGTTTTTTCGCGGCTTTTACTTGGGATAAATTGGATTGTTTGAGCGTAAAAAAAATATACGTCCCGCGTGGATAAAGCGCGTGACTGCGTTAGCTCGCGCGACGCATCGTCTCGTGCAAAAATTTATTTTTAGCTTGCCCATCGTCGCGAAAAATATTACTTCGTAGGACGCGACATCGCCTAAAAATAAAAATAGAGAGATCGAATCATTGGATGATACGATAATTCTTCTTATTAATCGAGATATCATAGCTTAATAATAAAACTTATTCGAATACACGCGAATTATAGATCTTTCGAGACAAGGTATATAGATAATATATGAATAATACCCATCATTGAATAAAATTTTTATCTCAAGATAAAATTAATACTTAATGAATTAAATTATTATCGAATTAATGCGTATATTATAATTTAGAATACGAGATTTCAATCATTACTTAATCTTTTTGTATTATAAAAACCAAAATATACCAGCTGCCGCGAATTAAATATAAAGATTGTACATTTTTTATTCGATATCCTAAATTAAAATCCTCATTGAAATTAATATTCAATCATTGCATAAATCGAGTCTCAAAATCACTACACACAAGAATAAATTTTTCTACGGCGATCCAATCGATGTTAGAGCCACGTTGATTCATGCAAAACTAAACACGACGGATATAAATAGGCGATCCAGAAATACGAGTTAGGCGTCGTCGACCTCTGTCTCTCTCGCAGACCGCTTACATTCTAACAATCTATTATAATAAATTCAATCGCTTATATATTGATAACAGTGCTACCTCGCTCGAAGCAACAGGTTCTCTTTAGACTTTTAGGTACAATTACTCAAGTCCACGCGAACGTTTATCTAAAAATACGATTCAATCGTCTTGCGGAAATCGCTTTGGATTTCCCGTTTCGATTTAACGACCGAATGAATCGCGAATTTTCCGCCAAATTTCCACGAAATACAGGACAGATCAATCGTATCGTAAGTCTGGCGGGTTTCCTTTTACCCGACATCTTGATGCTTTTTGAAAATATAGCGACTCTTCCACGAAATGCATCAAAGAAAATCTCGATTAAAATTGCATTTAATCAAAATTGAATGAAAGCAATATTAACGAAAATTTCTATATATAATTCAATAACAGTCTTACAAATTAAAATATTCATATATATGTATTAAAAAATTTTTAAAACATATCCTTAGGATTCCGCTGTAAATTAACAATAGTCACTATAACTATATATAATTGTCTGATATCTTGCATATGTATTATAGCAGAATATAAAATAATAATATGCATTTTAAAACGTGTCATGAATTTATGAATTATAATTTAAATTTGTGCTGTTTTGTAAATATCATATTAAATTGTCTTATGCTTTATTGATCAACAAGTAAGCTGTCTAATATAATATATAAGTTGATATCAACTCGAGTTGAAAATCAATTTCTATTTTGCAGAGATGAGGCATCTCGTCAGAAAGCAGAGCACAATAGATGTCCAATCTGTTAAAGTCAGTCTCAAAGACATCGTTTGTTACCTTTCTCTCCTGGAAGCCGGCAGACCGGAGGATAAACTGGAATGTACGTAATTGCTACAAAGACAACGACCATCTTGAAATATATGAAACATCGCGAGCTTTCATCCCGAATAATTCATTAGCAGAAGATCAACGATGCTTTTAAATAGGTGCGCGTTGTTTTTATGGCCGAGATTAAAAAGCTGTAATGGTTGCGCGATTATTTCTGAATAATTAAAAACACATCAATGTAAATTAATGGAGTCCGGTTTGTTTTTAGCATAACTTCATCGAAACATTATTTCATACACATGCATATATTAAATAGCGAAAAAAATATTTCCCGAAATATATAATATCATCATGAGAGTATTTCAACTTGAACATTCAACGCGCGTTTCTTCTTATAAAAATTGCATATTTGCTTTTCTTAAATAATCGCGAAAGATATTAGATTTTTTCAATATATGTCTTTGAAAAAATATCGAAAAAACTCACTTGTAAAATAATAATGATATAAAAGACAAAAATTTAAAAAAAAAGGAACTTTTTTCCATATGTATGATTTTCTTGAATAAAAAGTTTTAGAAGAATGTAACTGCTTTTACATTAATCATTGGATATTTGGCCTTTAGAAAAAAAATTGAAAAGTCCATACTAGAAAGAATGAGAATGACAAACAAAATTTACGAGGAGACTCGCGTGTCGGCCAGCAGTCATCCTCGATTTTCTGCCACAGTTGTTACAAGTCTATCCCGCTCAAACTTGTAGTGCAGCTGCAACTTGTTGCGCAGCAATTTCGGCTTGTGTTAACTCGGTGATGCTTTCTTTTTTCAGTCATGTTCCGGCTGTATGATACGGATGGGAACGGTGTCCTTGACACGAACGTGAGTAAAGAGCGGTTGTTATCTGTTAATATGAATGCATCACGACGACATGTGTGCAATGCAATACTTAACACGTCGCTTGCATAAAGTGAAAATATTTGTTAATTATTATACAGTAATGTCATCATAGAAATCAAATAAAAATCGTGTCATTGCGCAATTTATGAATATTTATTTATGAATATTTATTATTGAAATAATTACAAACGATAGATAAATAACACATGATAAAATATTACTGCTAATTATTTTAAAATCATTTTGATTTAATTTTGATTATAAAATAATTTAGAGATATCAACAAAACTGACTTTTTTCCGATGAAAATAGATTGACCTTTGCTGCTTAAGTAATAATAGCGGTATAGAATAGCTTTAGTTCTGATATTAATAGAAGAGATAAATACTTGTTCCATGCTCTCTGTTGACCGCACCCATAATAGGCACGTCAATTGACATGTACCCTCTGCGATCCGTTACAACGTGAATTATGTGGAACGAACGCAATTTCCGCTTTAGTGACGCGCATCATTGACCTCTTTGTAATTGAGAGATCAGAAAAATTATGTGAATGAATTGATTAATATTCTTTTCGTGTATAACAATGAAATTATAAACTGTTAATATTATCTAATTACAATATATCAATAATTTTTTAAAATATAATCAGTATAAAAGTAGTAATATAATATAGTATAGTGTTTTTCTAATTGACAGAATATTAATAAATAAAGAAATAAATATTATCGATTAATTTAAAATAAATTAAATACAAAATTTAATTAAATACAAAATTAATTAAATACAAAATATTGTTCTACTATTTTGTGTATTTAAAATAATTAAGATAAATATATACTTTTTTACAAAGTTTGCAGAATATTCACAGAAATTTCATTGTTTCACAAAGCATTTTAATTTTAAAATACCGTAATCTAATTTCGTAAGAATCAAATAAGCATTTTACATGTGAAATTGATTATGACGTTCAATGCATTCGTCATTCACTCAATGAGGGATTAGATACGCGTGCATATTGATGCATCGATAGAATATACAGCAGGAGTGAGATTTACGCGTCGACATGAAATTGCGGTCGAGAAGGATGTTGGGAAAACGACGATCGGCGTCGTCACATAATGAGTTCCATATTGAATAAATCATTCATATCACGATGTACAAATTATGCGTCGCGTTGATAAATATTCACAGTACCGATAGCGGAATCATGGGAAAGGCAGACGTTATTAAAAATGAGGCGAAGCCACTACTTTATTCAGATCTGTTCAGCTAAAGCAAATAAGCGGCCAAAAAAGAGTTTTTAATCAAAGATATATTAAAACTGTCTCGCGATATATAATGTATGTACGTCCTTCAAAGAAGGAAGATGATCGATATATCTTAATATACGCGATATATAGATATATCGATATATCTTAATATAATATATATATTATAATTTATATATATTTTTTAAGCGATATGGAATTTAATAATTTAATAAGATTAAATTATACACAAATAAAATATGATATATATAATTTAACACAATGTTAGTAGAAAATGACACATGCAATGCAACATTTATTTATTCTTTATTTATTCTTTCGTTGTTACTAATGCTATTATCATGCGTTTTTAGGAGATGGACTGCATCGTGAATCAAATGATGAATGTCGCGGAATATCTCGGTTGGGATGTCACAGAGCTGAAACCGGTAAGCAGGAAAAGAGCTTTTAGCGAATTATGATATTAATGAACTATTCTGAAGATTGGAATCATCTTCCTATCATCTTCCTATTAATAAATCCAATAATAATCATTTTCTATTCTAAGAAGATATCAACAAAATTATAAGAAATTTACCGAAGCTGCCGCAATTGGAATATACGGGATCAATAAATGGAAAATAAAACTTTATATTTCAGATCCTACAGGATATGATGATAGAAATTGATTACGATGCAGATGGTACAGTCTCATTGGAGGAATGGAAACGAGGGGGTCTTACAACAATTCCTCTCTTGGTTCTTCTGGGTCTAGATTCCCACGTAAAAGAAGATGGGAATCATCTGTGGAGATTGAAACATTTCAGTAAACCAGCGTATTGCAATCTTTGTCTAAATATGCTGGTTGGTCTCGGCAAAAAAGGACTCTGTTGCGTTTGTAAGTATAAGAAATCCATAATATTTTTCCTATTTCACGATGCTAGCATAAAACAAAATTGTGCGAGAAGTGCAATCAATATCTCTAAAAATAGGACACAAGTACGTATTTTGTGCATACAATGCAACAAAATCAACGGATAGATACAATCGTCATTAAATGACCAAGTTCCCTTTTTCAGTTTGCAAATACACAGTACATGAGAGATGCGTTCAAAGAGCGCCTGCCTCCTGTATAGCCACTTATGTCAAAAGCAAAAAAACATCCCAGACAATGATTCATCATTGGGTCGAAGGTAATTGCCACGGGAAATGTTCCAAGTGCAAAAAAACGATCAAAAGTTACAACGGCATCACCGGATTACACTGCAGATGGTGTCAATTAACGGTGAGTATAATCAAAGTGATACACAAAATACAAGGCAATAGGCATCTATCACATCATATCGTTTTAATTAATTATATTACATTATCAAAAATTAGAATTTATTTATAACAATATAAAAAATAAAAGAATATTCTAATAATAAGTATATGGTTTAAAACTCAAGCATTATAAAATAAATATAAATTTAGCAATTAAAAAGAAAATGTTTTGTGTATTTAATTATATTACTTATATTTCTTTTCTTTATGTCGTCTTTAACAAATTCTTTTATTTAAAACTAAATAATTAGATAATGCGAGTAAAAATATTTTAATTTAAGTAGTTCGCAGTTAGAATGTTATAGATATGAGATATGTTAAATATAGATATGAGAATGTTGTAGATATGGAATTTTTATTAATTAAAATGATAATGGATGAGGATACTTATAGCTGTATGGATATTTCCATGGGAATGTTGCAGTTGCATAATAGATGCGCGTCACAAGTACGAGCGGAATGTACGCTTGGAGAGCATGCGGTACATATCCTTCCACCTACAGCGATTTGTCCCGTTGTGCTAGATAGACAAAGATCGTTATCGAGGGATAGCAAACGAGGTAGCAAACACGGTCAAGATACTTCATCCGTCAGCTCCGTAAGTGCGATATAATGATCTGCATTAATTGTCTCATTACATGCCATTTTCATACGAAAGAAAGAATATACATGAAATACTTTTCTACTTATATGTTTAATTATTGGAAAAATTATAGCTTGTTTAATTCTTTTGTAAAAGATTTTAATTTTAAAACGCGGTAGAATATTTTTAACTAACAAAATACATTATTTAAAGGAAATAATATTAAGAAAAATGTTTAAAGAAAATAATGAAATAAGAAAATAAAATTCTTAGGGACCATAATAGAATAAACATGTTCTGCAACATGAGTAAATGTAATGAACTTTATAGGGTGGTTTCCTAAGCTGCGGTAGTTCGAATCAACAACCAGCTATGTCTTTTCAAATTTCTCCACCGGAGGACACAATGCCGCTCTTAGTATTCATAAATCCAAAATCGGGTGGCCGACAAGGGGAGCGAATGCTACGAAAATTTCAATACATTTTGAATCCTCGACAGGTCCATAATCTAGCGATTGGTGGACCTATGCAGGGTTTACAAATGTTTAAGGATGTGGAGAATTTTAAAGTAATCTGTTGTGGCGGAGATGGAACTGTTGGCTGGGTTTTAGAAACGATGGGTAATGCATCATGATTTAATAATATCTTATTTGATTATTATTTTATTTAATATTTGTTATTATTTTATAAAAAATATTTTTATGAAATATTAAAAATATTTATTTTATTATTTTATTTTATTTAATTAAATTTATCGAAAAACTTGTGAAACGAATAGAAGTGCTATTGAATGTTTGAAGAAAACGCGAATAAAAATGGTGTTTTTTAATAAATTTTGTAATATGTTACGTGTTAGATATAAATTATACAAATTATATATAAATTCAATAATAAATTACGGAACTTTGTCGAATATCATTCATATAAATTAGAAATGGAATTTAATAGATTTTTTATTAACTAATTACGAAAAATAAGTTATTATTTTGATGCTGCCTTAATAAAACATTAACGTTAATTAATATTATATTGATGTTATTTAATGTTATTTAATGTTAATGTAAGTTTTAGTGGCATTGTAATCAGTACTTTTACTACTATTTAATTCAGATCGTGTACAATTTGAAAAACAACCTGCTGTTGGCGTTATACCTCTCGGTACAGGAAATGATCTCGCAAGATGTTTACGCTGGGGTGGTGGTTACGAAGGAGAAGCAGTGCACAAAGTGCTTAAGGTAAAGTAAGCTATATGATGTATTTAATATTTTAATAATATTCCAATTATGAGAAATTATTTTTATTTTTTACACATTATTGTGTAAAAAATATCTGACTTATTTAATGCACCATATCAAAGATTGCTGTAAGAATTCGTTATACGAAATCTAAATGGTTCGCAGAAAATAGAAAAAGCGACGCAGGTAATGATGGATCGCTGGCAAATAGAAGTTTCGGATCAAAAAGACGAGAAGAAACCGAATCAAGACAGTATACCATACAATATCATTAATAATTATTTCTCGGTTGGCGTTGACGCTGCCATTTGTGTCAAATTCCATATGGAAAGAGAGAAAAATCCTGAGAAATTTAATAGCAGAATGAAAAATAAGCTGTGGTACTTTGAATACGCAACTACGGAACAGTTTGCTGCCAGTTGCAAAAATCTTCACGAAGATCTCGAAATAATCGTAAGCATAAATTAATAATTTTTCATTCGATTAATAAACCAATACATCGAATATCAAATATTCAATATTTAGATGAATTAATCAATCATATCTATTTTATAATTTCGAATACGCAATAGATGAATTTGTAATCGTTCAATCAATTTCATGGAATTAATGGAATTCGTGACATTACATGCATTTCATCGATTGCAGTGCGATGGTACACCTCTAGATTTGGCGCATGGGCCATCTTTACAAGGAGTCGCATTGTTAAACATTCCTTTTACTCATGGAGGTTCGAATCTTTGGGGTGAACATCATACGCGGCATCGTCTTGGTAAACGAAAAAAGCGACCGGATAAAGAACTTAGTACCAGTAGTTTCAATTCCGTAGATCTCACCGCCGCGATTCAAGGTGAGTTATTCATTTAACGTGCAAGAAATGATCAATTAAGCATGAACAATTTAATAAATGTATTTTTGCATCTCGTTCGTGTGCATAAAATATCACAAGTATAAATAGAATATATTTGAAGAATTACCTTTTTCTGATGATACTACGTATTTACCGGCAGACATTGGGGATAATCTCATAGAAGTAATCGGTTTGGAGAACTGTTTGCACATGGGTCAAGTGAAGACTGGATTGCGACATTCCGGTAGAAGACTAGCCCAATGCAGCAGCGTCACTATCATTACAAACAAACGATTCCCCATGCAAATCGACGGAGAACCTTGGATGCAAGGTCCTTGCACGGTGAGCTGAAACGAATAGTGAAATATATAAATATTTAGTACGATACTAAAATAAGTGGAACATATATTTTAGCATGATTTTTTTTTTACATGAAAAAGTTCTACCGGCTTAGTTAGAGAGAACAGAACGGAAATATGTTTTCAGTAATTTTTATTAAATTTTGTTTTATAATAAATTTATCTTGAATTTTTATCAAAAGATATTTCGCACTACATAAAACTTTATTATAAATGAATTTATTAAAACTTTATTATAAATGAATTATTTAGAATGAATATTTTTGTACTCTTATTTATTTTGTACTCTTAGTTTATTATATCATAATATTATATATGTAATATACCATTTTATTTTTATTGAACAAGTTGCAAATTGAATGAAAATGGTTCTCTGATATAGATTCGCATTACACATAAAAATCAAGTACCAATGTTGATGGCACCACCGCCAGACAAGAGTAAAGGCTTCTTCCGGTTTTTAAGGAGATGAATACAATAAGCTTTACGCTTTTAGCGAAGGAGGATGGATTCTATCGAGTGAAAAGATCAATTCTAACTCAATCTCTAATCCAGTCTTGTTATTGTCCGGCATGTTTAATCCTCTTTATTATGACAGCTGTATCGATTTCATACGTAGTCGCAGCTTTTCATCTAAATGCGAAGAACGCGAGCTCAGATACTCATTTAAACACGAAGAACGCGAGCGTCAACGCGTCATAGGTATTTTTATGTACAGTATTTTTCAAACTAAACGGAATTTCATGTCTTAGTCTTAGATATGCCAAGCGGTAGGCTCGACTGTCTTTAAGCCTTGAATGCTAGCAATTTTTGATCATTTTTTAATTCTCAATTGGCGAAATAAAAACATCGAGCGGAAAAGGATTAATTCGCCATACGATAATAATTCTGTCGCTTAACTTACGTATTGCCTTTCAGCTGCGAATCGATAGAGATTATATTAATATTAATGAAAAAGAAATTGTGATTAAAGTATCTTTCAGATTTAGCGAAAATAAACTCGTTTGTAAAGATGTCGCCCTTTCAATTAAGAGTCAAGTTACTTCGCGCAAGTCATCAATTGCTCGGCGAAAGCTTTCTGAATTCTGCTGCTTTTTATATGTGTGCAAACCGACTGGCGCACATATTTATGCAAGAAATAAACAACACATTGACACGGCGAATTGTGCGGTGTCGTGCAAACGAGAGTGGAGTTGTAACAACTACTTCAATTTAGAGCGCGTATGTAATGATATAATTCTTTCAAGATCTATCGCCGAACAATTAGCACTTTTAGCGTAGAAAGGATGGGCAAACAAATGGACTGGACTGGTCGACATATTTTCGCTTACGTGATACGTGATATATTCCTAATTCTGGTTCTCCTTTGCACGAATCCGTCCGTCAATCTCACGAGTCACATACCTTCCTCTCTTAATTCTAAGTTTTTTGTAAGGCTTAGTCGTAAACGCTTAGATATAAATCAGGATCTATTTATTTATTTATTCAATATATTTATTTATTTATTTTTCATATACTTTATAAGTCAGAGCAATATATCATAAGCATATCAACGAGCGAGTACGATTGCGTAGCACGTTGTAATGTGTGCTGTTTGGTTGTTAACATTTATGAGAAATCATGAATCACGAGTTAGAGAATTAATAGATATCATTTAATCCACGTGCGGATTATAATTCTCGATAATAAATACAATATAATTTGTGTCTTTATGTCACATTTATATCATTTTTGATGATTGTAATTATTACTTTTCATATATATACTTCATATTTTTCATATACTACTTCATATACTATTTTTGCACTTTGTGCTTGTAAAGAATTATAAGTAAATTTTTCATAAATTCATTGATTTATGTTCTCTTATTACGCGTATGAGCGCCTGTATTTTATATACTCTTGATGGCCCTATACTGTTAAGTAATAGAATGCTTCGAAGCACTTTTCCTTCTTCTCTGCTACAGTTACTCCGATTAAAACTTTATATATCAATAACACTATTGGGCGATTCATTTTTTAGTATTTCCGTAAATGTTAAGAAAAGAAGTAGCCAATCTAGCCATTAAGTGTACTGTTTATTAAATCATATAAATTCTATTTCCATGCACTTGTTAAACGCATTTTGTTAATGTATAATATAGAATCTGATATATATATCAGTTTTAAATCTAATGTAGCGAAACGAAATTTTATGTTATTGTAATTTTATTAAATGTGCTGTTTATTAAATTATATGAATTCTATTTCTATGCACTTGTTAAACGCATTTTGTTAATATGTAATGTGAAATCTGAGATATGTATCAATCTTGAATCTAATGAGTAGTGAAACGAAATTTTATGTGTTTTTGTAATTATATATATATATATATATACACATATATGCAGCCAAAGAGGAATAATATAGTAAATACGATTTAAAATCCCGCAGGGACCATCTCGATATATATAAACAAAGACGATTTTAAATTTTCATATCTTCGTGCAGACCGAGATTTTAATCTTTTGTAAGATGCTTAAACCGTCATCTCTCGCAGCTATCTAGATTTTACTTGCGTCTACTATGCGGAATAAATTAATAAAATGTGACAATTAGTTGATTTAAAAACGAAAATACCGTGTAAGTAAAATAGTATAGAATTTACAATTATGATGATTCAAAGTACAACATTACTTCCGCAAAGTAGATGATTTAGTCTTTTTCCAAGCACTGATCGCTCATAATCGTCATTGTTTTTTATCGCAATCTTCCGTGACGATTAATGCGGTTGATTATAGTTGATTAGAGTAATCGAAATATTACGCTTAACAAATGAAACTTGTAACCAAAGTCTTAATTTTCGAGTTGTTATCTATTAGTGATCAAATTTTAGGGGAATGAAAAATGAAGAGGAAAATGAAAAATCGTCGCGAGGACAAACAGGAGTCTATCCCTGCGGTCCATTTGACATGTGAATATTAACGGCACAATAACGACGATATTGTTTTTCTATTGGATTGGCGCAGTGTCTCAGTGTGCTTTGTCATTGTGTAACATTATATATGATGTAAAAAGACCCAAAAAATTTACCCATTTATGCGGCAGTACGAAAAGTAAGATGTTTGCTTGAGAACTTGGAAATTCGAATGCACAATTTACGGCAACAAATCTCTAAATAGTTCCCGAGATAAAAGAAATGAGAAGATAAATGTCGTATTATATGTGGACGATATTCCAAGAAGAATCTAGCGAACATTCAGTATCTCAAGAACATGTAGCTATTTCATCGTAAAGAAAATACATACAATAGCAAAGCATGAATCGGACAAAGTATACATAAAAGTTATAAAATAGAATTTTATTGCAAAATTTTCACATACACACACACGTACATGATTCTAAAGCATGATAGAAATAAATCAACTAATTTTGCAAGATTGATATGTAGAAAAAAAATAACATCCAATATATATAATAATAATAATAAAAATATCTATAAGATTAGGATGAAAATTTATTATGCTAAAATTGTAATTCTTTTTCGGACCATTAACGAATTTCAAGCAAGAAAAATTCCTGAAGAAATTAGTATATTAAAGACAAAATAGATAACAGCAGTGCACATAATTTTATAAATTTAAATATAAATTAACAATTTATTTTAGAAGAACAAATTTGCCTGTAATTTCCTTTCAATTTTGTTATTTTTCGTACGACTAAAATGCGTAGCAAATTACAGATTTTTGAATTTTTTATGTTGCTAATAACCGGGCAAATATTGAATATTATTGAGAACATTATTTAATTATTATTATATATGATATTATAGTCCGATTCACACTTTTCTTCTCTCGCTTTCGATAGTGATCCGCAAATACGTCTGATATACGAAATGTATGCGTTATAGTTGTTAAGCGCTACTTACGAATATCCGACATTAGCTGAATTTACTGCCATCTTTTTTTGGGTCTATGTACGTTTGAGCACTACTGCCATTTTCCAAAGGATAGACACGTACGCGAATGAAAAAAGCCTGTCTATAGTGTAATATAACATAAGAAATAAAGTGTAAATTTATATCACGTATATTTTTCCTATTAATGATTTTTCAATATTTCAGAATTTCGAAGCAATTGTCGTTTATCTTATCGAATAAAGATAGAAATATATTCGCATGGCGCAAATAATTTTTCGACTTAAATGCGTATATATCAGATATTTAAGAATTTATCATATGTACATTTAACACTTGCTAGAGAGTCAATTTTTAAATATATATTTCTCTCTCTTTAATGTTGTTAAATATGTTATATATTTTTTACAAGTGAAAATTTTCTCCCAAATTTTAAAAAATTTCTCATTACTCTATTAACGTTTTTAAGATTTTCTTCAGTTTTTATACTTTTTACGTTACATCTCTAAAGCTTTTCTTAGAAATCTTTTTCTTAAATGGAAATTTTTATATTCGATTAAGCAAATTTTTCATTTGTATATTTTAAAAGAGATGCATTAAAAAAAAGAAAAAAAAATTATATATATTCGAAAAAGAGAGAGAATATACATTTCATATTTCTTTTATATATTTAATATAATACCTACCAAGCAGAGTTAATCAGCACGATACGAATAATGAAGCGTCCAATCGTCATGACAATTGTCTAAAACGAAGGGTATAAAATCTTAGATCGCAAGAAAAAGATTTTAAACGTATTAAAAAACCTTCAATTAGAATGTTGATTAGGCAGAAATACCTCATTCCGTGACAAAAACCGTATTAAAGCCACATCCGACGACGACTTTATCCTCGCGCACTTTCACACTTTCCGCCATGATGGCGACGCGATATTTCGAATCTTGTACATACGCGAGAGAGCTTTACATTATTGTATTTCTTATTTCATCGGATATCGCGCGCTATACATACACATTTTGTCGACTTCACCACGATACAATTAACTATTCTCTTATTACTTAAATAAACGAAATCCGATAACGTTATATACAACGGAATACAAAAAAATGTGTATTTTTACCGTTCAAAAATGCTTACGCGCTCATGCTTTGGCGCTTCATGACGTACCAGCGTTGGATGACATTTCATCGAACGACAGGCGTCGCGTCGAACGTGCTGATTGGCCGCTACTGCGAGGAACTTTCGAAGCCCTAGAAATTCTCTATCGAACAGCCAATCGGCATGGACGATCTTTCCATCGTACAAATGTGATATTGGCCTTCAAGATATATATCAATCTGATATCAGTCAACGTCAATGTGAATACAGTATCAAACGAAAGGCCTCGTGAACGACACTGGTTTCCACTTTGCTTACTGACAAATGGATGAGAGCCGCCTGACGTTTCGCTCTCGTTGAAATTTTCAAATTGACCTCGCGTGCGCGAATATCATCGTCACGACGATCTGTCGGTGATGAACGCACAGCTACTCGATTGATCATATTCGTCTTGAACGAGCGACATAGCAGCATTTATGCCTGAGAGGTGCGTATGAGAGATTTTGTAATACATCGAATCTCGCGTGGGCGGGAGGGGGGGAGGAGGGCATGTTACATATACCGATTACATCGGTTAAGGTTAGGAATCGCTTGGACGAGCCGGGCGCGTATAATCTGTGTGATATCGTTGAATCGTTATTTTGCAGGAACGCGGCTGGCGAGATGAGTAAAACCGGGGAGAGCAATTTGAGGCATCTCCACTACGAGCAAACAGTGTAAGCATCTCCTAGAAAGCGAATGCACGCTTTGACAATCATGGTATATACATGAGTTTTGTCCCACTAAATGGCAAGACCGAATGCAAACATTATTGTTCTGGCACTTCTATTCAGTTCTCTTGTAAAAATATAGAGATAAAGGGAAGATTGTCCAACATGTGAAAAATCCAATGTTTATTACATTGTAGAATGATTATAATAACTTATCTATTTATTAATTTGCATCTGATTCGTCTCTTTATTCTGCTTTTTACAAACTTTTACATTTCTAAGGCTTTTTTTTTATAACATTTTATGTGGGAAATTTAGATATATTGCATCAAGCGATAAATTGCACGTATCATGGTTTTATGGCTCTTATCTCGAATATTGTGTCTAAACTATCTCAAATTTCCATGTGAATGCTATAATAGCATATTCTTTCATTGATGTAGTTTTTGCATTTATATTTGACTTTTTTTTCCTTATACTTAAGAGAAAAATTTATGATTGATATATAAGATAAGTTTATTTTGTATAAAAAGAATTATATATATAATATTCTGTTCCTGTAGGGAGTTCAATGGACGAGAGGATCAACATTCAGTAGAATTATGTAGCACAAATGTAACTATTATTCCTTCCCCTGGTGATCATGATCACGGTAGCTCAAAAGTAAAACTGAAAAATATCGTTGACTTTACTTGGGATCACCATCTTTATACTGGTCAATTGTTGGCTGTCCATGTATCTGGAAAATATTTAGCCTATGGCATAAAAGGAGGTAATATTTTAGAGAATTATTGATTTGCTATTTATGATTTTTTGCCAATGTAATCAAAGTATCTTCTGCTTTACTTTATATACAATTGTTTCAATTATTAAAATTGATTCTTTAAATATTTAATAAATATTATTTATATATCTAGAAAAAATTTGATTAAGTTAAGTTATTATACTTAAGTTATTATATACTTCTACTTAAATTTTTTTCTATGTTTTAGTTACTGGTACTGGTGGTGCATTAGTTCGTGTTGTATATAAAGAGTTGGAACATAGGGCTCTACTACGAGGAATGCGTGGTGCTATTCAAGATCTTGCATTCGCCCATGTTTCAAATGCGATTCTTGCCTGCATCGATTATACAGGATCTCTTTTTATACATACAATTGAACCAACACCATCTGAATTATTATGCAGTTTAGTATTACAAGTAGACGCGGAAGATGTTTCTCCAACTAGTCATCGAGTAATTTGGTGTCCTTATATCCCAGAAGATGATGCTTCCGATGGAGATGAAGTATCAAAATTATTAGTTCTTACTCGTGGTTCTAAAGTTGAATTATGGTCTGTTGCAATGGTGGCATCAAGATTTAGATCAATAGAGGTATATTTAAGTACAGTTGACTATACTTAAATGAAAATACACAATTGAAAAATATTTTTATCCTCTTTCTTCTGTCAGATAACAAATCCAGCTGTTAAAGAAAGCGGAGGGATGATGGAAATTGATCAACACTCAGGAACAATTATTGAAGCAACACTTAGTCCAGACGGTACTGCTTTAGCAACAGCTAGTACAGATGGAGAAGTAAAATTTTTCCAGGTCTTCCTGCATAATAATTCACACAATGGCCAACCACAACCACGTTGCTTACATCAATGGAAACCTCATGGAGGACGACCTATTTCTTGCCTATTTTTCCTCGATGATCATAAGCATTATCAACCTGAGTGAGTATTTTAAAGATATTAATTCAATTTAATATGTATAGATTGACCTATTAAATAGACTAATAAAAGTGTTACTATTTATTTCTCAGTGTTCAGTTTTGGAGGTTTGCTGTGACAGGATGTGACAATAATTCAGAATTGAAAGTATGGTCGTGCGAAGTGTGGAGTTGTTTACAGACGATTAAATTTACCCCCAATCCTTCTACTGGTAAAATGCCAGTGTTGAAAGCAGGCTTAGATCTTAGTGCCGGATATCTATTTCTATCGGATATTTATAATAAAATTTTATATATATTAAGTCTTTCAAAAGACAAAGGTGAAGCATTGGCTTGCATAAGCACGGTATCAGAGTTTCTCCTGCCATATCCTATTCTAAGCTTTGGAATCGTCGATGCTGATCAACGCAAGATTCGATCGAATGGCGAATCATTAGAAGACCTATGTACATGTGAAGAGATTGAAGAAAACGATGAACAACTTGTCATTTACATGTATCTAGTTCAACCAAAATCTTTACAAGAGTGTCACATTGCTTTTAAACCTGCTTCACAAGCAAGTGGCAATTATCTTATAGATACACTTACTCATGATTCGTTAGATTATTCCGAAGATTTGCCGGATATGGGAACCGTCACTCACAATGGTATTTCCGGTGAGAATTGCGAGAGAGAACGTTCTTTATCCACTACAATTGAAACAACGATTAATCATAATACCAGTGGCTTAAATCTGATGACACCCGATGCGTTTAGTTCACCTGCAAAAAAAGAGAATAACGAACTAGAATCTAATTCCGGAAGCCCGGAATTAGGGAAAGTTTTATCCAGCAGTCCTTCTCTTGCACAAGCAGTGCAAGCTTTGAACGTATCTGATCCACCACTTGCAAAAAACGAGATGGAAGAGCAAGCCCCTGCTAGTTGTGGTAGCAGTCCTTCTAGAGAAGTAAGAGAAATTTTGTCTCTTACTAAACCAGACGAAGAAACCGAAATTGATAACAAATCAGAAACAAAAACAAACGCCGACGAAGATTGGTCTAATATCCCAATGGTCTTGCTCAAAGATGTAAATATACATGCTATGCAAGAATCGGAGGAATTTTCTGACGAGAACAATTTACAAAGGCAAAAGACGAAAGATGAGTCGAAAGCAATATCTCTTTCAATTGACGATACTGGAACATCGTGGCGACCGAATAGTGATATCAATAATGTCGAATTGAATAACAAATTGAAATCTGTTTTAGAAATAATTCAAGACCAGTGCCAAGAAATAAAAGAATTGCGGACAGAGGTAATCAGATTACGGGAAGAATCGCCATCCACGCGAATAGAATCTGCATTGGCGAGAATATCTCAGCAACAAAATGCGAGTCTAGAACAAACTCTGTACAATCAAATGGCTCGTCAACATGAATTTCTAAACACATTCGAAACAACGATCAAAGATAAAATTGAAAGTATCTTGCCACGTACAATTGAAGAAATGATAATGCCTTTAAAACATCAAATGAGATTAGACGCGAATCAAATGGATGAACTCTTTCAGAAGAATATAACTGAATTAATAAACAGTGCGCGTGTAAAAGATGCCTTAGCTTTGACAGCTGCAAATGCAGCTAAACCTGCTTTGGACGTTGCCTTTAAAGAAATATTCACAAGTTTTATTTTACCTGGCATGGAAAAGATTTGTCAAGTTATGTTTAAGCAAATTCAAGATATCTTTATTAAAGGCACTCATGAATGTAAATAGTATATGTATTTTATCAGTATAGAATAATTGTTTCTTTAATGTTTTATGTACATGATATCTCTTTACATAGATCTACAACATATTGACACCATCGTCGAGAAGCAATGTCAGCATCGCAATGAACAACTCAGTGAAGCATTATCAACATCAGTACGTGAAGAATTACAAACTGAACTGAATAGAATTTTAACGACAACACAAGATAGTACCATTCGAGCAATTCGTGATTCCATACGGGAAAATCTGAGTCAGCAGCTTACAGAAATTTCTAGTGCGCGGTAAGGGATATGTCGCAAACTTGAAGTTTAGAATTACGATTATTTAGATGCAGATAAAAATTTCAATAAATGTTTCTCAATTTACAGATCAAGAGCTACAACACCTGCTATACCTGTAGCTGCTGTAGCTGATACTCAAGCACGTGTCATGTCTCTTCTTCAAAGAGGTCAATTAAATGCTGCTTTCCAACAGGCTTTAAGTGCAAGCGATTTAGGATTAGTAGTATTAGTATGCGAAAAAACGGAACCTTCGAGAGTATTTTCGTGTCCAGGAGTTCAGGGACAAGGTTCTAGATGTATCTTACAGCAACCTGTGATTCTTTCGCTCGTACAGCAGTTATCTGCTGATTTAGGACATCGTACAGAACTAAAACATAGGTAATTATGTTCCTTTAATTTAGATTATATAAATTATATCGATTGACATAATATAAGAATAGGACACAATTTTTATTCTATTTGCAAAATTATTAAATATAAACAAGAATCATATTTCTTTATTATATACACAGGTGGCTAGAAGAAGCAATATTAAATTTAGATCCAACTGATCCTGTAACACGAGAACATATGGGCACCGTGCTAATAACTCTGCAAAATCAATTGGCTACATTTGTAGCAAATAATCCGAATCATCGATCAACGCGTCGCATGAAAATGCTCGCTATGGCTGCGCGTGCACTATTAAATCAGCATCCTTGACCGCCACACTTGTGAGATCATTTAAATATACAATATAAGATTTTGTACGTTTTGTTTAAAAACTACTTTTATCTAAAAAGCAATATTTGCGAAAGTTATGTTTAAGACTGGCAGTGACTTATATAAAATATGAAACAAATACTTTAATGAATTTACTCGTGCTATATCAAAATATATTTAAAACCGATTTAATTTTATCTTACAATATCTATCTATGCATTTAATATGCAATTAATTATGTTATTCATTTTTATCTGTTTAAATATTTTACAATAAAAACTTTTTTTAAAGAGTTTTTACATAAACTGCTTAATTCAATTTTTGGGACAAAAATAGAAATGTTTTAAGTTGAGCGCAAAATATTGATTTGACGATAAATTAATACTAGAAAATATTCAGTATTAATGTTGATGAAAAAAAAATATTTTTTGTTCTATCTTTAAACTCTGCATGAAGGATGTTATAAAAGGATGTAAAGATGAATTTTCACTTGTAAGTTGATAGTAAAAAGAAATATAAAAAAAATATTTCTTCATATTTCATATTTAAATTCTGACCTTAAATATAATACATGGATTTCATTCACTATGAACTTGTTATATTTAATCATACTTATATGTGAAAATGTGGTAAAAATTATATTGTAAAAATTTTTAATTAAAATATCTAACTTTGAAAGAATTTTTTAGCTTGATAATCATTTATAAACACAATGTTTTATCTAAAAACAATCCTATATTTTTAGGATCAGTAATTTGTGAATTAGAGACAAAAATCTATTAAAATAAGTATAATTAATAATTATATTTAATTGAATAGTATAATTATGTTTAATTGAATTGATAAGTATAATAATAGTTAACATTGAATTGAAGGATAAAAGTACATATATATGCATTTTTAATGTTAAATTGGTCTGATAATAAGTATTCAGAAACATTTTTAATTTTTTAATTTTTTAATTCTGAAAAATTTTAAATTTTCTGCCACTTTTTTCATATAATAGTAAACTTACCAGTCATTTTACATATATCATACTGTAGTATATATAAAATGTAGTATTGAATTTTGAATGTCTGAAAGTTCTTAAAAATTACTTGTAAATAATGCTATGCTGTGTATATTGAAAAGATTATTTTTCAACATTTTTGTACTTTCTACATATAAAAGTTTTGAATTTCAGATTTATGTCAACTATATGTGTATATATTATTATATTATTAGTATATTATTTTATACATATACATATACACATTCAGATATGGTGTATATTCTTGATACTGTATGTTATCTAATATTAGCTAATATACTAAAGAATATTGTACATTTTATCTATATCTGAAATTACTTTGAAACTGTAAGCATTATTATTTCTTTCTTTAATGAGAAACAAAATCAAACGCATTCATTGTAAATGATTGCATTAAAAACAAGTAACATTTCTTACTCGTCAATAACAAGTTTTATAGATATTGCATATTATAGTAGAAGGAAGGAAAATTCACAAATTCTTTAAACTTTCTGTGGTGTTTCTATAAAAACTCTTGTATTTATACATTTTTCATTATAAGAATTCTATACAACCAATTAATTTATATTGCAAAAATATTCATTAACAAATACGTTTATAAAATAAAACATGAATAAGGTATATTTTAACTTAGAATAAAGATAAATGAATGCTTTATTCTTTTTTAATAAATCCATACACAAGTATTGTATCTTATATACAAGAAGGTACTATTTTTTTTCTTTTCAATTATCACATTTCAATCATTTTTATTTTTTATATATCATATTCGTGGATTGTTCAAAATTTTTGTGAATTTAACAAAGTTCTATGTCTCACATTTATTCTTCAATTCTATTACTAAAGCCTCTTTAATATGTGGTGCAATTTTAATCTTTCTTTTTCTGACTTTCCCAGATTTTATACCATTTTTGCTCAATATTGTTTCTGGTTTTTTCTTTTTTTTCAAGCAACTAAGTGGATTTGGTCCTCCTTTTTTCTTCTTTTTCTTCAACTTATCTTTTTCTTGCATTATTCCTGCTTGCTTTTCTAATACCTTTATATTTTCTTTTTGCCATGTAGTCATACCCAAATCTTTTTGCATAACTTCTGCACGTTTACGACTTGCTTCTGAAGGAGATTCTAATGTAGGTGTCTTTCCATGTAAATAAATTAAAGGAACTCCTGGAATTAACCTTAACCTATCTTGAAGCTCACGATCTTGCGTTGCAATAATGTATCTATAACAAATATAATTATATACAACCTTATATATATTATAAAAATATATCACATCTCCTATAATTATATTATATATCTAATTCTTCATGATTATATATATTTAATATATGAAAACTCATATAATGTACCTTGAACTATTATCTTTTCCTATCATAGATCGTAAACATTTTGAACCACTTATTGGTTTTTTCTCATGTCCACACTTGTGTATAGCATATTGTTTTACTATTTGTGTAGTACCATTAATTGATGTAGAAAATATACCAAGTTTTTCAGTCTCAGAAATAATACATGATGTTGTTAACAATTTTAATTCAGATTGAAAGTATTTTTTAAGTTGCTCCTGTATGTTGAATTTGTTCTGAAAAGTAATGAAGTATACGAAATATAAAAATATAAAATATAAATTTAACATTGAAATCTAATAGAAAAAAATTGAAAATTTTGTTTTATATATATATGTAGAACTAACCTGTAATGCTGCGAATGCAAAGGTACCATCAATAAGAATTTGAAATGGTTGATGAAATTTATAATTATTTACATAAAATCCAAGATTTTTTCTAGCTTTTTTATTTCGTGAAGTCATTTTCAAATTATAATTAAACTTTCTTTTCAAAAATTATACAAAAACAATGTATACATTCTATCTCTCTTATTCCACAGAGAAAATCAGGAATCCTCAAGAGAAATGGGACAAAGCAGCCATTAATGAAATAGCGGAAGTAAGATTACGCGCCATTTTTGAATAAAAAAAATAATCGAAAATGTCTACATAAATTCAATTAAAAATTTTTTTTTCTATAGAATAAGAAATAAAATAACTAACATGTACATCATAAAATAAAATGATAATTGAGAAAATATAAAACATAAGAAAATAGAAAATAATTTTGAACAAATTTAAGAAATTTATTGCTTATATTATTATATATTCTTACATACAAATACAATTCATTTACTTTAGGTGAAAAAGTCATGTCTTTATTTAATTATAATTAATATGACATATTAATTTGAAAGTGATAAATACAAATTTTTATTGTAATGGTTTATTAAAAACATTAAAAATAGTGTATATATATATACATATATATATATATATATATATATATATATATATATATATATATAGAACATACACTATATTTTCGATATGTATTAGTTATAAATAATAATATTATATCCTTGTCTATGTTAAAAAAAAATTTGAACAATACTATGTAATATATGTTTCGTTTTTAGAAACTTTTTTATTTTTATATGAGAAAATTTACGTATTTTTACTTTTAGTATATTTTCTTCTTATCCAAAAATGATTTAGTCTTATCATTTTTGTCATTTTATTCTGTTTCAGATCCACTGATTATAACATGACAAATACTGGATTTCAAACCCTATAAATAAAAATGCACAATATATTTAACATTAATATTCAATTTAAAAATTATATGTGTGTGTGTAATATTTTATATTTACATTTTCCCAAGCATAAAAATGCATAGATGTAAGCTTTTCTAATGGATCAATCATATGGACATTTAAACATTGTGATTGATCGATGAAAGGTCCACGACAGGCGGCCATATCAAAAATAGTTTTTTGTGGCATTTCCCAAGCCGTTTTATAAAGAAGTTTTAATTCGTTTGGTATATCCTCAATATTCTGTGGACAGAAACGAGAAAAGTTTATTTTACAGTATGTCGATTTTTTAAAGCATCTATATAACATAAAATCAATTTGTGTATATAAGTAAATTAAATAATAACTATTTAGTAAATTAAATAATAACTATTTAAATAATAACTATTTACTTGTATAGATCCGTCATTATTAATGATTTTATTACATATGTTTTCATCCCAAAGTTTTTTTTCAATTAGATCTCGCAACAAACGTGGCTTAACAATTCGGAATTGTTTAGATAATGCATGTATCACATAAATGTTGCTTGTATATGGCTCAACTGATACATTATTTTCTAACATTTGTGCCATAAATGCATCTGACATTTGCGCTATTAATAAAGAATTGCGCACACCATGTTCTTCGATCTTTTTCTTTAATGTATTCCAGTCCCATAAATCTGTTGGTTTGGCATTCCACATATCGTACTGTAACATCTATGAAGAAAAAGCAAAATTGCCTAGTTTATACATGAATAATCTTCATATGTGAAATTAGAAAATATTTTTTAGAATACTTACACCTTTACTAATTGGACTACCTTTATATGATACATATGAACCTTTCTTGATAGCTATTTCACAACTAGCTTCTAAAGCACCATAATAGAGAGTCTCAAAAATTTGAATATTGAGTTTGCGAGCTTCTTGGCTTTCAAATGGATATCTCATTAAGATAAATGCATCTGCTAATCCTTGTACACCAATACCTAATGTTTTAAAAACAGATTTAAACAAAATTAGATATTTAATGTGTAAATTATACACAGATACTTACCAATAGATCTATGTTTCTCACAAGACAATTTTATTTCCGGAAGAGGATAAAAATTAGCATCAATCATTTTATCCAAATTGTAAGTGACAATTTTCACAATTTCTTTAAGCTTATTAAAGTCAAAAGTTTTCTTAATAGGATCTACAAACATATTGACAGCAATTGAAGCTGTATTACACATAGCTATTTCGTCGGAACTTGAATACTGAATGATCTCAGTGGAGAAACCACTGCATTTAATTGTGCCCAAATTTTGATGATTTGTTTTTCTATTACAATGATCTTTATAAACTATATATGGTGTGCCTGTTTCAAATTGTGTTTGAATGATAAGAAGCCACAAATCTCTGGCTTTAATCTGTTTTCGAAAACGTCCTTCCTTTTCATATCTATAAATATATATTTATTTTGTAAATTATATAAATTATATCCTTTATATAATATTTAATTTTGAAAATAATATATTAAGAATATCGTAATAATTATTTACCTTGTATACAAAAGTTCAAATTCTTCACCGTATGCTTCAATTAAATCAGGACATTCATGTGGACACATCAGACTCCAAACATCATCATTAAAAATACGTTGCATGAATAAATCTGGAGTCCACAATGCATAAAACATATCTTTAGCCCTCAATTTTTCCTCGCCTATAATAGTTAATTTTAAAAAACATTTATATATGTATATAAATATGTGTGTATGTGTCAAAAAACATACTAAGAAAAATAACAAAAAATAATAACCAATATTCTTTTTAAGATCCAAAAACTCAAAGATATCAGCATGCCATGGTTCTAAATATACAGTAACTTGTTCTGTATTTTTTCTAGAAACAGTTGCAATAGATGTATTGTATGCTTTCAACATAGGTACCAATCCATTTGATACACCTCCTGTGCCTCTTATAGGTGTATTTTTTGCCCGAATACAATGTACATTGAATCCTATATCACCATTATAATGACAAAGAACAGCAGACCTTTCCAATGTATCCAATATTCCATCTATGCTATCTCCAGACATTGTCAGTAGAAATGAGCTATAAGAATCATTCATTCAATAACACATATATTTAATATATAAAACTACTTTAAAAACTACTTAAAAAATCACCTAGCCATTTGTTGTGTAACAGTACATGCAGTATCTAATGTCTGTGCAGGATATATAAAATATTGTTTTGAAAGAAAATTGTATGTTTCAATAGCTTTATCAATATCATCATCATGAATAGCTATAGCAACTCGCATCAGCATATGTTGTGGTCTTTCAACAACCTTTCCATTCAACTTTAATAAGTGATTAGTTTCCAACATTTTATATGTAGTATAACTATAATTAAAATCTCTGTCATATATTATTGCAGAATTTAATTTATCTGCATTGCTTTGAATAATTTTATAATATTTTTCACTGATTATAGGTAAACGTTTGTTTGTAATGGAGTTTTTTGCATCGTATAAATCAGCTATCACTTCTGCATAATATAACAAATATTAATAAATTATATTAAAAATAAATAATTTACAATAACAATATATTTCTTACCACTAAAAGTCTTTTTTGTCTCTTTATGCAGATTAGATATGGCAATTCTAGCTGCTAAAATCGCATAATCTGGATGCTGATTGATCATACTTGCTGCAATTTCAGATGCCAAGTTGTCCAATTCAACTGTTGTTACGCCAGAATACAAATCAGTTATAACACGAAGCGCAATTATAGACTGTAAATAATATAAATATTATGTTTTTTTCAGATTGATATAATTTTTCATATATTATAATAAATTTTTATCAATTTTACAAACTTTTTCAAGAAAATATTACATAAATTACGTTAATACATATAAATAAACAAAAGTTATATCAATTAATTTCCTTATTTGTAATATACTTACTGGATCCACATAATTCATATCCAAATCGTAACATAATGTCTTGATTCTTGCAGTTATTTCATCGAAATGCACAGGTTCTTTACGTCCATCTAATAATAAATAAAAGTTATGTTTAAAGGCAGAAAATCAGTAAATGACATGTATTTGTTAAATCATAATGTATGTAAATGTATTTTTATTTTTTAATTACCGCGTTTTAGTACATGCATGTTTCTTGTTCAGCCACTTTTAAAACAATTTATATTAATATTTTGATTTCTACACAATCCTGAATTCTACGTAATTCGAACAATAATTGTACAGTATAAATACAGTAACTAGAAACCATCAACTGACTGTTATGAAAATTTTACCCGCGAAACGGAAGTGGAAGCAACATTACAAACCGAAGTTTTGCGCACGTGCAGCAGTAATAGCACCAAATCCACCAAATATAGCGATACATATATAAAATCATGATAGGTCTCTTCCTAAAGAAAAAAAATAAATAAAATAACGATATTTATATACAAAGTTCAATGTAGCAAAATGATTTATTAAAAGACAACAACATTAAATAATGGATGAAAGTTATCATATGTATGATAATCAATTATATTATAGCAGAGAGAAACCTGAGAGCGGCCACCTCGCTTTAACGGGTATATTGTCCTAATGCGCTCCCTGACAAAGTGGACGTCAACTACATCCATTAGAGTCGATAATAATACATGGTTCGTGTCTGAGCTATGGTTCATGTCCAAGCTATGGAGTGACCCCAAAAGTGATACTCCCTCTATGGACATTCAAAACATGGACATGAACTACAAACACTAAGTCCACGAATGTTCTCAGAGGGTAATATATAATTGCACAATTTCTGGTTTTGTTCCGTGCTATGTGCACGAAATGCCGGTAGCACCAGTGCTATATAACAATTAAATACTTATGTGTGTAAATTGATAATAAATAAATTAATCAATCGCGACAGATACTTTAATATTCAAAGATGAAATAAATATTTTTCAAAATAAATTGGTAAATAATACGACTCTATGTATTTATCAACATGATAATTAAGTAAAGAGCATTAAGAGCCCACAAAACGCGGATGGCAATGCGTAAATTATTTCGAACATTAATTGTTCGCGAAATTTTTTTTTTTTTTTTTTTTTAATGCGTTATTAGGAGAACATGATTTGTAAAGAGGTCATCAACGCATCTTCGACCTCCTCGCAAAATATATTCTCCTGATAATATAAAATAATAAAAAACGAATTTTCGAAAATTTTCACGCTTGCGTTATTAGGAGAACATGATTTGTAAAGAGGTCATCAACGCATCTTTGACCTCCTCGCAAAATATATTCTCCTGATAATATAAAATAATAAGAAACGAATTTTCGAAAATTTTCACGCTTGCGTTATTAGGAGAACATGATTTGTAAAGAGATCATCAACGCATCATCGACCTCTTCGCACAATATATTCTCCTGATAATATAAAATAATAAGAAACGAATTTTTGAAAATTTTCACGCTTGCGTTATTAGGAGAACATGATTTGTAAAGAGGTCATCAACGCATCATCGACCTCTTCGCACAATATATTCTCTTGATCATATAAATTAGAAGAAACGAATTTTCGAAAATTTTCGCGCTTGCGTTATTAGGAGAACATGATTTGTAAAGAGGTCATCAACGCATCATCGACCTCCTCGCAAAATATATTCTCCTGATAATATAAAATAATAAGAAACGAATTTTCGAAAATTTTCACGCTTGCGTTATTAGGAGAACATGATTTGTAAAGAGGTATTCAACGCATCATCGACCTCCTCGCAAAATATATTCTCCTGATAATACAAAATAATGAGAAACGAATTTTCGAAAATTTTCACGCTTGCGTTATTAGGAGAACATGATTTGTAAAGAGGTCATCAACGCATCATCGACCTCCTCGCAAAATATATTCTCCTGATAATATAAAATAATAAGAAACGAATTTTCGAAAATTTTCACGCTTGCGTTATTAGGAGAACATGATTTGTAAAGAGGTCATCAACGCATCATCGACCTCTTCGCACAATATATTCTCCTGATCATATAAATTAGAAGAAACGAATTTTCGAAAATTTTCGCGCTTGCGTTATTAGGAGAACATGATTTGTAAAGAGGTCATCAACGCATCATCGACCTCCTCGCAAAATATATTCTCCTGATAATACAAAATAATGAGAAACGAATTTTCGAAAATTTTCACGCTTGCGTTATTAGGAGAACATGATTTGTAAAGAGGTCATCAACGCATCATCGACCTCCTCGCAAAATATATTCTCCTGATAATATAAAATAATAAGAAACGAATTTTCGAAATTTTCACGCTTGCGTTATTAGGAGAACATGATTTGTAAAGAGGTCATCAACGCATCATCGACCTCTTCGCACAATATATTCTCCTGATCATATAAATTAAAGAAACAAATTTTCGAAAATTTTCGCGCTTGCGTTATTAGGAGAACATGATTTGTAAAGAGGTCATCAACGCATCATCGACCTCCTCGCAAAATATATTCTCCTGATAATATAAAATAATGAGAAACGAATTTTCGAAAATTTTCACGCTTGCGTTATTAGGAGAACATGATTTGTAAAGAGGTCATCAACGCATCATCGACCTCCTCGCAAAATATATTCTCCTGATAATATAAAATAATAAGAAACGAATTTTCGAAAATTTTCACGCTTGCGTTATTAGGAGAACATGATTTGTAAAGAGGTCATCAACGCATCATCGACCTCCTCGCAAAATATATTCTCCTGATAATATAAATAATAAGAAACGAATTTTCGAAAATTTTCACGCTTGCGTTATTAGGAGAACATGATTTGTAAAGAGGTCATCAACGCATCATCGACCTCCTCGCAAAATATATTCTCCTGATAATATAAATAATAAGAAACGAATTTTCGAAAATTTTCACGCTTGCGTTATTAGGAGAACATGATTTGTAAAGAGGTCATCAACGCATCATCGACCTCCTCGCAAATATATTCTCCTGATAATATAAAATAATAAGAAACGAATTTTCTAAAATTTTCGCCCTTGCGTTATTAGGAGAACATGATTTGTAAAGAGGTCATCAACGCATCATCGACCTCCTCGCAAAATATATTCTCCTGATAATATAAATTATAAGAAACGAATTTTCGAAAATTTTCACGTTTGCGTTATTAGGAGAACATGATTTGTAAAGAGGTCATCAACGCATCATCGACCTCCTCGCACAATATATTCTCCTGATCATATAAATTATAAGAAACGAATTTTCGAAAATTTTCACGTTTGCGTTATTAGGACAACATGATTTGTAAAGAGGTCATCAACGCATCATCGACCTCCTCGCAAAATATATTCTCCTGATAATACAAAATAATAAGAAACGAATTTTCGAAAATTTTCGCGCTTGCGTTATTAGGAGAACATGATTTGTAAAGAGGTCATCAACGCATCATCGACCTCCTCGCAAAATATATTCTCCTGATAATACAAAATAATGAGAAACGAATTTTCGAAAATTTTCACGCTTGCGTTATTAGGAGAACATGATTTGTAAAGAGGTCATCAACGCATCATCGACCTCCGCGCAAAATATATTCTCCTGATAATATAAAATAATAAGAAACGAATTTTCGAAAATTTTCACGCTTGCGTTATTAGGAGAACATGATTTGTAAAGAGGTCATCAACGCATCATCGACCTCTTCGCAAAATATATTCTCCTGATAATATAAAGTAATAAGAAACGAATTTTCGAAAATTTTCACGCTTGCGTTATTAGGAGAACATGATTTGTAAAGAGGTCATCAACGCATCATCGACCTCTTGCACAATATATTCTCCTGATCATATAAATTAAAGAAACGAATTTTCGAAAATTTTCGCGCTTGCGTTATTAGGAGAACATGATTTGTAAAGAGGTCATCAACGCATCATCGACCTCCTCGCAAAATATATTCTCCTATAATACAAAATAATGAGAAACGAATTTTCGAAAATTTTCACGCTTGCGTTATTAGGAGAACATGATTTGTAAAGAGGTCATCAACGCATCATCGACCTCCTCGCAAAATATATTCTCCTGATAATATAAAATAATAAGAAACGAATTTTCGAAAATTTTCACGCTTGCGTTATTAGGAGAACATGATTTGTAAAGAGGTCATCAACGCATCATCGACCTCTTCGCACAATATATTCTCCTGATCATATAAATTAGAAGACACGAATTTTCGAAAATTTTCGCGCTTGCGTTATTAGGAGAACATGATTTGTAAAGAGATCATCAACGCATCATCGACCTCCTCGCAAAATATATTCTCCTGATAATACAAAATAATGAGAAACGAATTTTCGAAAATTTTCACGCTTGCGTTATTAGGAGAACATGATTTGTAAAGAGGTCATCAACGCATCATCGATCTCCTCGCAAAATATATTCTCCTGATAATATAAATTATAAGAAACGAATTTTCGAAAATTTTCACGTTTGCGTTATTAGGAGAACATGATTTGTAAAGAGGTCATCAACGCATCATCGACCTCCTCGCACAATATATTCTCCTGATCATATAAATTATAAGAAACGAATTTTCGAAAATTTTCACGTTTGCGTTATTAGGAAACATGATTTGTAAAGAGGTCATCAACGCATCATCGACCTCCTCGCAAAATATATTCTCCTGATAATATAAATTATAAGAAACGAATTTTCGAAAATTTTCGCGTTTGCGTTATTAGGAGAACATGATTTGTAAAGAGGTGATCAACGCATCATCGACCTCCTCGCACAATATATTCTCCTGATAATATAAATTATAAGAAACGAATTTTCGAAAATTTTCGCGCTTGCGTTATTAGGAGAACATGATTTGTAAAAAGGTCATCAACGCATCATCGACCTCCTCGCAAATATATTCTCCTGATAATATAAATTATAAGAAACGAATTTTCGAAAATTTTCACGCTTGCGTTATTAGGAGAACATGATTTGTAAAGAGGTCATCAACGCATCATCGACCTCCTCGCACAATATATTCTCTTGATAATATAAATGATAAGAAACGAATTTTCGAAAATTTTCACGTTTGCGTTATTAGGAGAACATGATTTGTAAAGAGGTCATCAACGCATCATCGACCTCCTCGCACAATATATTCTCCTGATCATATAAATTATAAGAAACGAATTTTCGAAAATTTTCACGTTGCGTTATTAGGACAACATGATTTGTAAAGAGGTCATCAACGCATCATCGACCTCCTCGCAAAATATATTCTCCTGATAATATAAATTATAAGAAACGAATTTTCGAAAATTTTCGCGTTTGCGTTATTAGGA